GCTTGCATTTCATTCCACCGCATTTTTATGGGACAAGCAGAGTCTCAGCGCCTGGAGTTATTAGGTTAGTATCTAAAATGGGTTCAACCTTGTGGGTCTTAATGTTTAAAATGAATTAGATGGCCCCCTCCCACCTTCCTTTCTGTTCCCTAGGGACCAGTGGATTGAGGCGAGGCCCCTAGAGACTAGTTGGAGGAATCCTGGTGCTCTGATTAGTTTTGTTCTCTCAGCTTAATTGTAGAGCTTCCTTTCTCTTGTTATTGATAGCCAAAGTGGCTCTGTGTCCTGCCCACCCCCACATCACTCCCTTTTTGCTTTAGGAACAAGATTATCACAATGCGGCCTTGTGAATCAATTTTCTCTATGTGCTGATGAAAGTGTAATTCATTCTTAATCAAGCAGCTTTGCCGCTGCAGGCTCAGTGCCGGAATACATTTAGTTACCCTCCCATCACTTTGGGAAACGATCCCCCTAAAAGGACTTTTAGAGGAGAACTGGAAGGAGAGTTGGCAGCCAGTCTTGGCTGTGTTTTTCCAGTAGGGGGCAGTCTTGGGAATGGTGCTGGAGTTGCCTCTGGGGCCGGAAGCCTTCCAGGGTGCCTGACCTGGCGGCTTTGGTGAGCCTGCCGCTTGTCACCGGTGCCTTTAGGTTTGGGGTCTGCAGACCCTGGGCCCCCTCTCAGGAGTGGCCAGGCGCCCCACTTGTGTCCTGATGGGCTGGCTGAAGCCCTCCCCCACCCCCTGTGAAGTCGGAATGGTGTATGTCTGTCCCTGTTAGGGGGAACCTCCTGGGTACCAGGTCTTTTCTCTGGAGTTAACAGGAGCCAACCCCCTATCTGTTTAAGGAGATTGACATGTCTCCTGAATCTGAAGTAGCTCAGATTGCGTGGACGTGTCCATCTGGTCACACCACACAATCTAGGGAGGGTGAGGTGGGAGCGCTCTGGCGAGTCATGCCCTGCCCTGCCCATCCACAGCCTGCGGACAACGGGCAGGTGGAGGGAGACGCGAGCAGGGGTGCTGTCCTGTGCCAAAGCCAGGACGCTGGGCAGGAAGGAGGAGCCGGCCCCACAGGTGAATCAGAGCCCCCCACAGGACATGAGCCAGGCTGTGTAGATCTGCAGCCCGGGAGGAAAGGAAGTTTGCCTGCTCGGGATGGACCGGATTAGTGACAGACTTGAACAGCCGGTCGGTTCAGTTGAGAGAGAACTTAATTCCTCCTGTATTATTCACACGGCTGATTTTAATCAGCTGTGGAGAGACAGCTGGAAGAGAGAAGCGGGTCAGCCCGATGCCTGGTGAGCAAGCTCCGTGTTCTTTTAGTCGTCTTCAGGGAACTGGCAAGAGCACGGCGGGCTGGAAGCTTTGCGAGGGTGTGTGGGGGTTGTGGCTCCCCGGACGAGCGGGCACGACCGCCAGGACCCCCTTGGTCAGCCCCGGTCTGGATCCGCTGTGACAAGTGGACGGTCTGTGACAGGCCAGGCCGCGGCTCCTGGCAGAGTTCCACCTACTTGTGCTCAGAAGGCTTCAGAGCCCTGGACCAGGTTGGGCAGGGCCCTGTGTGCCTGCGTCCTGAGCCTGCTCTGCTTTATCATCCACTACAATTCAGAGATCTCTTCCCGGACAGCCTTGGAGATTCCCCAGCCCGCACACTCGGGGAGCCCCCTCACCCCCTCTCCCGGCAGGCAAGGGCAGGCGGTGGGTGTGGAGGGGCCGAGGCCGGCTTCAGCTTTGGCGCTCAGGGTGCCTGGTCAGGCGGTGAGGCCCCAAGTCAGATGCGTACACACTGCGCTGAGAGCTAGGCTGGTCGCTGAGCAGGGCGGAGGCCCAAATGTCCACATGGGCTCGTAGGCCTTGGGGTGAGAGAGGGTGGCTGGGCAGCCTGGACACCTGTCAGCTGTTTGTCGTCAGCATGCAAAGACCCAGAGAGGCAGCTTATTCGTGAAGGGCTTGCTCTGTGCCGTTTCCTCTTTCTCTTGATGAAAACCTGCCTGTAGCTAGCTGTACTGTAAATGTGACATCAGTGCGCTTTCTAGAAACAGCAGGTAGTGAAGTGGTGATCCCACAGGTGAGGAGAGTCTGCCCAGCTGCTCCCCGCCTGCCCCCCCACCTGCTCTTCAGCAGCTGTGCCTTCCTGTGGAAGAGGTGGGCAGTGCTGGCTGGCTCAGGAGGGGCTACTTTGATGTCTAAGATAAAGGACGCCGCTGAGGTGGCAGAGGCCGAGGCTGTGGTGGCGACTGGAGGGAAGGACTCCACAGTGGGCAGTAGGTCCCGGTGGCTCGGTGAGACAGCGCATATCAGACCGGGAACTGCCGTGTGCAGGAAGGGACAGGGGGGCGCAGTGGCGGCCAGGTCTGGCTGCAGGCGGAGGCCGGAGGCTCCTGGTGCCCCATCGCCGGCCGCTGTGTCTTGGCCACTCTGTGGGGGCTCTCCCTGCCTGCTGCCTCTTGCTGGGGCCCGGGTCTGTGGTGCTTTCTTACTTCTGCAGACCAGAGAATTTGTGCGAGCAGCACACATTCCTTGGGGCTGGGGCACAGCTTTCACTTTTGCAAGGTCAGAGGCCAGGCTGCTCTGGCTGCCAGGGGGGTTGGGGGGGCTGTCAGGGGAGCGTCCTACCCACTCCAGCAGGGTTTTGCCTCCTAGCAAGCAGCTTCCAATAACTGGAACCTGGTGCTGCCAGAGCTGCCAAAACCCTCCCCTGGCACTTGGAGGGGACAGCCAGCATGCTCCTCTGATGGAGGATCCAGGAATTCTTGGAGCCGGTGCTGTACAAATGGGCAGGAGGCTCGCAGAGGCCCCCACAGCTCAGGCTCGCTGCCTGGGGACGTGGCCAGGCCTCTTGGCGCCCACTTGCCCTGCCTCAGCGGCAAGCCCAGGGCAGCACATCACCCTGCCTTCGTCGCACCCCTTCTAACCTGCACTCTGCTCCACTCCCCCCACTGGAAGAGAAGCCAGAGCTCCTCTGGCTGGGGGGAGAGGAAGCATTTTGACACTGCCGTTGGTACCAACAGCTGCTGTTGAGCTCTGTCATGCTCCAGGCACCGTGCTGAGTGCTTCCCAGTCACTCTGCCGTCACCAGGGGCTGCCGCCACCTCCGCTTCACAGCAGGAACTGAGGCGGGGGAGTACGTGAGCTGCCCAGGGCTAACGGCTGGTGGCCCAGAATGCTGTGGCTCGGCTGCGCATTTGGTTTGGAGCAGGCAGGCGTGAGGCAGGTGTGTGAGGCGAGTGTGTAGACGGCTCTAGGCAGGCCCCTGTCTCCTGAGGGCCTGGTTAAGCTCTTCCAGGTGTGGGAAACACCTGAGTGTAGACACTGGGTTTCACGCCTGTGATTTAAAGTCTTCCCCCAGGGGAACTTCTCCCTCCTCCTCCCTACCCGGGCTGTACTCTGGCAGCTGAGTGTCCTCCTTCATTCTTCCCCGGGAGCCAGCCTGGTTCCCATTATCACAGAGCACATGTCTCCTGGCCCTTCTCCCCTGATTGCATTTAGAGAGAAGCTCATCCAAACCTGTTTCCCTTCTGGAGGGAGTTCCATTTCAGCAAAGAAATGAAAGCCCTCTCCATTCCCATTAGAGCTGGACTTGGGCTTTCCAAAGGGCTCCCGAAATTGGTTCCGTGGAAGAAAACAGCTGAGATGCCTCCCTGTGTTCAGCTCGTTAGTCAGGAACTTCAAGGCCAAAGACTTGGCAGGATTTAAAGAGCTGTCTCTCAAGCTGTCTCATTTTGGGTGCCCTGATGGTGAAGTGTTTGGGTCGCGTCTTCCCCCCATCCTTGGAGCCCTGGATGGTAACGAGGACATTTTGGATTCAGAGACTGTGGGAGGTCAAGGGGGGGAACGGGTCAGATCATGGTAGCCTCTCCCTGTGGGTTTAACTCAGAGGAAAGAGACTCAGAAGGTCCAGGGTGCCTGAGGCCATGCACCGAGCTGGCAGCAGAATTGGTGCCCTCTCATGCCCTCTCCTGCCTGTATGGCTCACACCTGCCTCACACCTCTGACCTCCGTTCACTAGAGCACACCTTCTATTCATTCAACAAAGGTCTGCGCTCCTGTTGGGTGCAAAGCATGAAGCTAAGTGGTTTGGGGGATGGAAAACCCGGAGCTGGCTGAGAAACCCAGTTTTGCCTGAGTGGTTGATCTCGGGAGTAGAACAGGGAACCAAGTGCTTCTGTTTGGGGAGATCCTAGAAGTTGCCTCCCAAGTTAGGAAGTTGGGGTTCAGCTGCCCACCTCAGCCCAGGAGGTGGGAAACTAGTGTCTTACCCTTCACACCAAGAGCTCCCCTTTGATTCCCACCCCCTTCCCTATCTTCCTGTGCTTCTCAGGGCTTCTTGGGGGTTGGGGGGAAGGGTCATAGTTTCTGGCAGAAGCCTGGCTGTGGGCTCCAACCTCCCTGCCTGAACCAGCCCCTCCCCACCCACCTGTTGCCTCCCAGGTCATGGGTGGAAACCCCCTCTCGGCTGCATGGGCAAGTTGGCCTTGGGGCCACCTGAGGAGCCAGGAGCAGAAGGGACAGGTTCTTCCCCATGGACACAGACCTGCCTCGCCTGAGTCGTGTCATCTGGCCCCAGTGGCATCTGTCGGGTGTGAGGACCCGGACGCTCACCCCGCGGGTTGGTCCTGTGAGCCCGGGGAAGGATTAGCATCCCAGGCTGGCACAGCCACAGAGGGCCGCAGAGGTTGTGTTTGAGGCTCTTTTGTAGGCAGGAATGTGAAAAGCTGCCTCAGTGTCTGGGGAATCTCATGCCGCTGTGAGCAGATGCCATTTTCCTGCTGATGTGCCTTGCCCCCAGCCTCCCTCCTGGCATGTCTTCACTTGTCACCTCCTACTTTGAATTCTTGGGCAATTCTGGACTGATCACCAGCTTCTTGAACATCTATTTGAACCGTCTTCCCTTTCATTCCAAACCACCTCTGAGGCTGGTCCGCAGCAGGATGGACCGCAGCACCCCGTTCTGAAGGAGCAGAAATCGGGCCCCTCAACGTCTTCTCTGCTTCCTTGCAGCTCACCTTACAGAGCGCCAAGTCCCGCGTGGCCTTCTTTGAAGAGCTCTAGCAGGTGACCCAGCTGCCCCCGGACCTGCCACTTCTGCTGCTCCTGCACCGGCGGGACTGGTCAGACAGCGCGGGAACCACCTGTAGTTGAGCTGTCTGGGAGCTTCCGTGGGAGCGCTGGAACTTTCCCCAGCTGAGTGGAGAGCTCAACCCCCTTCGTGTGCAATTGCCGTGAACCCTCTCTCACAGGGTTTGAGTTCTCCTGACCCGAGTCTTTCAATTTTCTGAGAACTATTTGTCTTTCCTTGTCTATCGAGGGGTCCTATTTCTCCTTGAAAGGTACCCTGGGGTGTGCAGTGCTGGGAAGTGGCTGTGGGGAATGAAGTGCATGGTCCCCCCGGAGACCTGGAGACTGGTGCTAACACCTGCATCTCCCCAGGGTTCCAGAACATTCATCTCCTCCCCTGCTGAGGTACTGGCACAGCCCACCCGAACCGAGGGCCAGAGCGACCTGCCTGCACATCCTCAGTGCCCATGCCCACTGCTCACAGTGAGCCCAGTGACGGGTCCTTGGCCCAGGCACCCGGGGGCAGCCGTCTCACTGCCAGGCGGCAGGGAGTGGGAAAGGGCGCTGTGACTAGGGAAAGATTTTAGGTGGAAGCAGTGATGAAGGTCTGGCTGCCAGCAGAGGGCTGGGGGGCCAGTAGAGCCTTGTAAGAACCTGCACTACACAGAACATTCACTGAGCTCCTACCACCCCAGACCAGGGTCTTAGAGGCGGCGGGGGCCAGGTATGTCTTCCCCACTTCAGCTGTAGCCTCTCCTGCCTGTGGCAGACAGATGGACGGATGGGACAGGGTCTTCCGGTCACATTCTAGTCGTCACCTGCTAGCCCAGCCCTGACGGGGCAGGGAGTGCTCTTAAGGCTCTCCAGCCTCAAGGGCACTTCCTCCTCCTCCAAACACTGAACTCCACTCACCACCCCCACACACACACCCCACCCCCACCCCAGACCCCGCCTGTGTGGCTCACCTGAATGGCTCGCCTGAATCACCTTCCCTCCAGGCCACTGCCAGCCCCTCCAACGTGTTGTTGTACCTGGGCCTTGTCTTGCTGTTGCCTTTGTCCCCCCAGAAGGCCCTTTGTTTTATGTACTTTATAGATCAGAAGTCCCGTGGGCTGTGTGGGGTCCCTTTGCCCACCCCTACCCACCCCCAGTGTGAGCCAGCTGCAGGGTTCACTCAGTGTCGGTGCTTCACACCTGCCGGCCCGCAGCTCACCCCCACGGGGGCAGCAGCAGGTCACAGAACCACCGTGGTCACTCACACTCACTCCTTGGATGGAGCCTTTCTCTTGTCCTTTCTCCGCTCCATGGCTGCCGGAGCCGGCAACCAACCGGCCCCCAGATCCTTCCCGCGGGGCTGCTGTGCAGAGCAGGTGATACACCTTAACCAGGGAAGGGTGACTGTTGGGTGGAGATGGCTGAAGGCCGGTCTCTGGCCGGTGTCTGTGGTCTCCACAGAGGCTGCCTTTTTCCTCGTGGTGTCTTGTGCTGCCTGCCCACTCCTTGGGCCTCCTTGCCCTTAGGGCATCAGCCCTGTGTCACCCAGCCCTTGGGACGTGGGGTGCGGCTCCCCATCCGGACACCTACCTTGGATGACTGTGACTAAAACCTTCCTGCACTCGTCTCCCTCAGGGTGGCAGGGAGGGGGAGAGGGGCGTGCTCAGCGTCTGGACCTTAAGCTCTGGCTCTTGTGTTGTGACTCCATCAGGCTTCCCACCCATCCCTGACTCTCCATGGGGAGTTACTTTCCTCCTGACCTGTGAATTTAATCTGTAACAATAGTGTGGGCACAGGAGCAGGGGGGTGGCCTAGAAAACATGGTGAGGCCTTGTTTTTTCATTATTTAAACTGCTGTGTTAAGTCTGAAGTCCGAGAAACGCCACGCCGTGTGGCCACAGAGGAGCCTGCTGGCATCCGGGCTGTGACAGGAGCCCCCTCGGCCCCGGGGCAGACTCACTCCACCAGCCTGGCTCTCCTTGGAGACAGAGCTGGCAGGCACCTCCCAAAGGGAGCCCCCGAGAAGGAGCTTGTTTTTCAGGGTCTCGTGCCTGTGGCTGAGATGAACATTTCTCAGCACAGGAGCTTCTCAGTGAGGAAGCCCACTAAGAGCAGAGCCCGGGCTGGGATTATCTCATGACAAGCACTTGTGGTGGTGCTTGGGCAGCCACACCACCATGTGAAGTCACTGCCGGCCAGCGACACGCGTGGGGCTGTGCCGGCGACCCTTGGCTGGGGCGGCACAGACCCCCTGGCTCGCCCAGGGCACCCTGGCCTGTGGTCGCCGCTCAGTGATTCACGTGCCACCAGACCCTGCTGGACAGCGCCCTGGCATTACAGAACACTGCTCGAGGGGCTGTGTTTTGTAATCTAGGGGACAGATGTCTCTCTCTTCCTTTTCCCTTTCAAATCAAAACAGCAAGACCAGAGGCTGACAACCAGCCACGGTGACTGAGTGTGCCTCATTGACAGGGCTGGGGCCTGTCAGCCCCTGAGAGAGTGGCCGTGGCAGGGAGACAGCCTCCCCCAGATGGCCTGGAGCCAGGCTGCCCCCTTGGGTTTCCAGGGACACTCCATCCTTTTTCAAAGATGTCAAACCCCACCTCCCCCTTCAGGCCAGAGTCCCGCCTCCTGTCAGGTCCACACCATGGAAAGCTATTTTCTATTCTGGGGGGTTGTTGTAATTTAAATGATTGTTTTAATAAAAACTCTAAGTTGTAAAAAGTTTGTCTTGGGCTGAAGTCTGCTTGTTGCAGAGGTGGTGACAAGGTGGGCTGGGTGGGGAGGGTGCCTCTGTGGGCTCTCAGCAAGCGCTGCTTCCAGACTGAAGGGACTGAACCCCTCCCGTCTTAAAACGATCACCTTTTCCGTGATGACGATGGCACCCCTTCCTACACCTTCAGCTGGGAACTTCCTTCCTTCTTCCTGCGGGACACAGGGGTCAGAGAGGACCCAGATCCCCGACCCAGGGCCTTCATTTCCTCTCCACACACCTGTCCACGCCCAGGTCCAGACGTGAGGCGAGGGCTCTGGACTGGGTGCTCTCCTGGGTGCTTCCCCTTCGTGGTTGCCCCATTCTGAAGACAGCCTGGGGTGGGGAGGCCTGCAGAGCCCCTGCACCCTGGCATGGTCTGCGCCCGCTGGTGAGACTGAACCGTTGTCCTGAGCCACCTGGAGCCACACGACAGTCACACCTGAATCGGCTTGAGGCTGGGAACTACCACCTCAGAGCTTACATTTCTCATTTTGTTTCTCTTTTCTTTTTTAATCAACGTAAGTCCTTTATTAAGACCAAAACCTATTAAAACATCTCAAATCACACTGTCCAGAATTAGAGATTTCAGTGGCACCGTGAGCTATCAAGCCTTCTGAGGGACAAGTCATGCCTGTCACACATGGCAGTACATTTCAGGTCTCCACTTACGAGCAGCAAGGAAGATAACCTATCAAGCCACCCCAGCTTTTCTAAAAGAATTTGAGCTAAATGCAACTTTTTGTTTTAGAAAGATGTTTAAAATTACAAAACTAGGAATCTGGTGGTGCAAGGAGTTGTCTCCGCACTATGAAACTGGCCACAGCCACTGCAGCACGAGTTCAATCCCCGCCCAGGGAGCTGACCCACACGGTGCAGCAGACCTCTCCGGTCTTGCCCGCTGCTCCCCTCAGCAGTGTGTTTCAGTGGATCTGCCTGTTCTGCTCCCCACTCTGTCTCTGGTGAGTCCTCTCACCGCCCTGCACCTCTGGCCTGTCTCCCAGTAGTTGTATGCGTTAAAAAAGAGAGAATAGGGCCCTCCCTGGTGGCTCAGCGGGTTAAAGCACAGCACTAAGAAGCTAAAGTCACTTCTGCATGAGTTCGATTCCCGCCTGACCCGGAGGTGACCCACATGGCGAGGCAGACCTCTCCTGACCCGCCCGCTGCTCCCCTCAGCGGTGTACTTCATCGATCTGCCTGTTCTGCTCCCGGCTATGTCTGGTGAATCCTCTCACCCTCCGCATCTCTGGCCTGTACCCCAGTTCTATGTGAATAAATAAATTAAATCTTTAAAAAAAAAAGAGAGAATAAAAAAACAAACAAAAAACCCCTAGGAATTAATACCATTTTATTTTAAATTCATAGAATTAGTAACTAGATTAAGCTGCTTATTAGAGAAATACGGTAAAACGGCCTCATTTTTTTAAACATAGTTGCTATTTTCAGTGGTTCGAAGTAGTCTGATTTTCTCTGTAGTCTGAGCCGGAAAAAGCACTTCATAATACTGAGCATTTTGAAAACTCCAGACAATATTTTTACCTGACTTTTTTTTTAAGCCACTCCTACCCCTTATAAGATAGTAATGTGTTCATACAGCTCTCGAGGTTTCCATTAGTGGGAATAAAATTAATCGCATCGGGACTTGGTATCAGCATGACCAGCCGATTTCTCCTCTGCCTTTCCCCCTTTCTGTTCTGACGGTGCTGTCAACCCAAAGCTGCTGACCGGATCTCAGTACTTAATTGTGGCGTTTGCGGCCCGGTCCCACGGGACCCCGCGTGGCTGCTCTGGCCTCCCTGCCAACACTTTGTCCTTTTGCCTTTCGTCCTCATCCGAGAACTCAGTGCCTGGCAGATGTGCCCACCGCCCACCCCAGCAGACTTCACTTGGGAGGAGCAGACAGGGAGCCTCCCACGTGTAACAAGCAGTTGGCAGCAGGACTGGGCCGGGGAAAGGTATTGGCCAGATTGCTGCAGCCGTGTCTAATCCAATTTTTTGCATGTCTGGGGAAGAGAAAGTGGAGCCATACGCTGTCTCTGTCTCCTCAGACAGCCCGGGCAGCTGAGAGGCCACAGGCTCCTCTCCCTCCCGGCCGGAGTGGCGGGCACGCTGGCAGCCTGTCATCACTGCGTTAGGGCAGGCGGCTGGAGGAGGCTGCCGTGCTCGCCCACAGACAGCTCGGCCATCCCTCAGCCGCGTGAGGACCTGAAGTGACTCAGAGCGGGACCCACCCTGTCCTCGCCGAGATCCCACTAGATGCCCATTTCTCTTGGAGGGATAGCCCCAGGACAGTGCCCGGCGTGATGCCTCTAAGCCAAAGAAATCAAGACCTCGGAAGCGCTTCAAAGTCGTGCAACGAGAGCCCGCCTCCCCCCTCCCCTACGGCACATCTGCTCTCTGTCTCCTGGCCGCCCCCTGCCCCACAGGGCCGGGCCTGTGCTCCCAGAAACCTGTTTCCTCTCTAGGAAGAGGGCTGATAATGACACCCCTGGGATATTGCTGAGATAACATGAAGAATAGATGCACAAAGTACTCAGTTTTCTAAGGAAAAGAAGTGAGGCTCAGTCACAGTAGCGCCCTTATTTACTAGTAATAGAAGCAGCTAGAAGGCAGAAGCCTGCGGCATTCACAGCCAGCACGAGGGGCCAGGACACCCAGCAAGGGGCTCAGCGCCCTTCACACGCCTGGGTTCAACACCAGTCAGCCACTTCCCAGCTACATAAGCAGAAGCAAGTGGCCTAACCTCTTGGCACCTGCAGTTTCTTCATCTGTACAAGGGAGATGTTATAAGTTTTGTGAGGGCTAATGTGCCTGGGAAGCTCTTGGCACAGTGCCATCGGGGGAGGAGGCTCTTTTCTGGATGCTTCCTGGGTGGGAGGGGGGTGGGAAGAGGAAGCCGAGAAGAGAGCATGGTCGCCCAGAAGAAGCCTCCATTTGGAGGGACCCGGCCCACCAGCAGCCCCCATGGGGGCCCCATCACCTCCACCTGCACCGGGCCTTAATGAGCCTGCGTCTGGCCTGTTTGTCCTCACGGTGTTTGCCCAGTGCCAGCTGCCAAGCCCGGGAGATGATAGATAACCCAGGCTGGGGCTGCCTGCAGAGGAGGTTCTGGTCCTCTCACCTGCTGCTCCGGTCAATAATTTACTGGCACTCAGGGTGGAAGAGGAGCTAGGTGGGCAGGACTCGCCTGTGCACCTGGAGCCCAGCCCTGAGCCCGTGTACCTGGCTGCGAAAACCCAACCACAGATGCCCGGGAGGCACGCCAGTGACCTAATTTTCTCTTATCAGGCATAAGGAAGACGTCCCCGTGGGGTTTTGCCCATTTCCAATATAAATAATGTAATTCCCCCATCTGCCTGCTGGGGAGCAAGGGGCAGCCTCTGATCTGAAGGAATTAAGTCAGTAAACAAAAGCCAAGAAGGCTGCAGAGGTGTCTCTCCCCAGCACCTGCTGTGCCACTTAGCCTGAGAGAGGAGCTGAATTCAGGCAAGTGAAGTGGACCAAGGGCGGCCCGGTCTCCCGCATGCCCAGCTGAGGCCCCAGATACTTCCCGCGACACGGCACCCGTCTGCCATGTGCGTGGGCCTGGTGTAATTTCCAGTGGAGAGTCATTCTGAGGGAAGTGTGTGCGACGCGTGGCCTGGGCTGGCCAGCTCAGCCCCGGCTGGAGAAGCGCTTGCCACTATTGGAAGAAGGGGCCGGCGACTGGCAGGGCCACCCAGGCCCGGTCTGCATTCAGACAGCAGGCTTGGGTTCTGGTCCGGCCAGCTCAGCTTCCAGGCGTGAGAAGGCCCCATCCACTGTCCAGGCTTCCAGGTCCTGGGCACAGACAGACCAGAGGAACACTGAGGCCCCTTCCGGTTCCTACTGCCTATGAATGCTGTTTCTAAAAGTACCCCTTGGGCTCTTCCCAGACCATCACGCCAGTTTCAACCTTCAAGGAGCCGAACGAAGGGGGGTAATTGGTCCGGGACCCCCCAGGGGCAGCCACTGCAAGAGCTGGACCAGAACCAGGCTCCTGCTCAGACAGCCAAACTCGCCCGTCCTTTCTCCTAGCCCCACGCACCTCTGGCACAAACTGGGCACCGGCCGTTGTGGTGCCCCACACCGAGTAGTCGACTGTGAAGGGCAGTGGGCACCAGCACAGGGGGGCGGGGTCTTTCCCTCTCCCTGGCGGGCCCAGCTCCTGCCAGCCTGGGAAGAGGAAGGGATGGTATGAGCCGCACCCGGCCAGGCCCGCGTGACAGGGGCTGTGCCCTGAAGCCCACAGGGGACACCCTTCTTGCCCATGCCTGCCTCCCTCCCCCAGCCTTCCGCTCCAGCCTGACTTCCTGAGGCTGAATCTATTAAGTCCTTCATATTAGCCAGCAAAGGGGGAAACAACCCTCTTTCATCTTAACTGGAGTGAATTTGCATTAACACCTGGGGAGTTCTGTTTGCCTTGAGAAAGCACATTGCTATTCTGAGCTGCACACGCTGCGGAGTTAGTAGCAGTATCCTATTCTTTTATTAACACGGCTTTTCTCTCCTCCCTCCTCTTTTCCCATGGAGGGGTGAGAGTGGCTGGGGATGCCTGGGCTCTCCGCCCCACGTGGGAAGGTCCCCGGAAATGTCACGTCAACCAGGGGAGCAGAGAGCAGCTTCCAGATGGAGCAGCAGTGTCCCCCACAAGGGAGCCTCCACTCCCTTGGCTCCCAGAGGCCACCCCCCACTCCAGCCCCCATCCAGCACCCCCTTTGACATGCCAGTCCATGCCAGGCAAGGTGAGGGCCCAGGATGGTAGAGGGCAGGGAGACAGGGCTCCCTCGGTGGCTCTTGGGGCAAGGCCAGAGAGGCGAGCACCTTGGGGATAGCTCCCCAGGCTGGGGGGTCTCAGCAATGCGGCAGCGACATGAACGGAGTTCGAGCTGGGCCTGGTGGGGGCTGACCTGTGACTGCCGTCAGGGCCCCGGCACCTGTCCCTACTCGCCATAGGATTGGGCCCAGATACCCTCACAGGCAACGCTGACCAGGGTGGTGTAGGTGGGGCACATCTTGACCTTAAGTCTGGGCCCTGGAGCTCGAGGTTCTGGAGAGTAAAAAAGGGGGTGCGGGGAGAGCGATGAGCAGGAGCACAACTCCCCTTGGTAAAGACAGGCCGCCTCTTGCCTATTGTCTTGGGAGGCCGAGCTTGCACCCCCATGCAGACCGGTTATGGACATGTGCCAGGCGCCACCTTCTCTGGAAAGTCAAGTCAGGGCAGAGACAGGGTCCCCTGAGTGCTGTGGGTGGCACAGCAGAGCGGAAAGGGGGTTCTGCCTCCCCCGTGTTGTTGGAAAAGAGGGTTTGGCCTCATCAGCCACACATTCCTCCCACACACAGCAGAGTCAGTTCCGGCCAACCACAGGGCCATGGCTGGGGCCAACGGGGTCACAGGTGCTGTGTTCTGAGCCAGCGCCAGGCCCACGCCGGCCAGCGAGCATTTACTAGCAAGGCCTGCCGCTGTGTGGCATTAGCCATTGCTGTTAGCTTGTCCTGACTCAGTTGTCGATGGAGATGGCTCAGGGCAACAAACGCCACCGTGTGGGCCCGGGGGGCTCTCAGACAGGCCACCTCCCACTCCGGCTCCCTGGGCCCTCTCCAGACTCCCCTGAACTCCTCCCCCACCCCCAGGAAGAGAGGAGTATGCGACCATGGGGTGTGGGGAGCACCCTCCCAGCACGGGGTCCTTGGAGCTGGCTGAGAGGGGCTGCAAGTACTTCCCGAGTGGGTGACAGCTGCGGATGGCTGGTCGCAGCCCGGGAGCGCTGGGCTGGCATCAGCATTCCACGGGCATCCCTGGCTCCTCCTGCAGCCTTCCCGCTCTCGCCGGAGACTGGGCCCGTGCCAGGTGCCACACTGCTCTCTCCAGTGACATTTACCAGCTGGGAAGTAGCCACCGAGTCGTGAAATCAGTGCCGGGCCGGGGCTGGCCCACTTCATTAGATCCGGTTCTGCTCTGCTGGGTAGGTCGGCACAGCCAGCCACAGCCCCCTCCCCACGTCCGGCCCCATCTGCCGGGGTCAGGGCCACGATGTCCCATGAGCACTTGCTCTGGCCAGGCACCAAGGAAGATGGGAATAATCACAACAGCGATCCATGCTGGCCTTGGCACACTTTGTGTCTTTGTAACCCTCAGCAGTCCCCAGGGGCCACCATTACCACTGCACACACCAGGGCCCGGCTCAGGGACGCGGCTGCCACTGAAATCCTCACCCGGCGGCATCTCCAGGCCCCACCGTGGCTCCTGCATGAGACAGGCCGAGGCGGCCAGTGGCTTCTGAGAGCTGGCTGGAGCCGAGTTTCTCTTCCGCCTGGGTTTGCCCACTCCTCAGCTTCGGAGGGTCCCTCTGGCCCAACTGAGCGTGGGCATGACAGCCACTCTCCCTCACATGACTATCAGCCCTCTGAGGGAGCTCAGTGGTGGGGACAAGCCAGGCAGCTTGGTGCGTGTGGAAGGGGCTGTCCAGGCTGGCCAGGCCCTGCTCTGCCTGGCCCATGCTGTCCAGGGATGGGGTCAGATTCTGGGAGGGGCAGCCCCTTGCCCCACACCCATGGAGGAAGTAGAGGTATATGGGTGGGCTTAGTGTTGCCAAACTTAAGGGCCAGGGGGCACTGGTGTCTTCAATCACGAGCCCCCCTCTCGGCCGGTGGGGGTGGCCCTTGTGGGTTGGGAAGAAGACAAGTTCTGGGTGTAGGCTTGGGCCTCTTCGCAGCTGAGAAGAGTCACGCAAGTCACAGCACCCCACTGACCTCAAGTTTTCTCAGTTGAAAACGGCGTCACTGATGTCTGCCTCAGAGTAAATGAAAATAATGCCCTTACGGTGCTCAGCGCTGCCCTGGGCGCGGGGCCGGCACCTCCCAAGCAGGTGATGCCGGGTCATGTCCTCATCTTCGTCTCAGGCCCAGGCTGGACAAAAATTCAGACCAGGTCCAGCTGTAACCTCCAGAGCATCCGGGCGAGCAGGTGGCTGAAGCCCTGTCGTCTGATCCCCTCGTCCAGCCAGTCCTGGCACAGAGCAGGTGCCCCGTGGACACCTGCCGGGTGAGGAGTGGGGGTCAGCTTCCCCACAGCGGCATGAGGGTCTTCGTGCCCAAGGATATTGCCCCACTCCCTAGGCCTTGCGATTCAGGTGGACTAGTGGCTCGGAAAGGGCTTGTTTGATTAAAGTGCTGAGGAGGGAGGTGGTGACTTCCCAGCAAAGGGCTAGTGGGGGGCTAGAGGGCCTGGGGCAGGATGCGCCCCTGGCCAGCTGGCTGGGCCGTTTGAGCTGTAATCACCTTGGGGTCTGGTCATCACTCAGCCACCTGGCAGGGAGGAGCATCCATCAAGTCTCCTTCCCCCTGCCAGTCCAGACAATTAGTCAGTCCTGCCTAATCCACAGGTGCCGCCGCTGGAAGCCACCACAGCCGCTGCTACCACCTCCTCCTCCTCCTCCTCTTCTTTCTTCTTTTCCTCCTCCTCTTCCTCCTCCTCCTCCTCTTCCTCCTCCTCCTCTTCCTGCTCCTCCACTTCCTCCACTGCTCGTCCTCTGCTATCACCAACCAAAGAGCAGGGACCAAGCGGGTGTGCAAGTCAGGCTCCATCTTCCCAGGGGATCCTCCCTTCTCCCAAGTGAGGGTACCTGCCGTGTCCCCACTTCACAGATGAGGACGTTGCCCCAGGGTCACCCGAGTGAGTCCCAGAGCCGTCACTGGCGCTCACTGGTCCAGCCCCAGAGGCTCCTACTTAAACTCCTGTCTGCCCTGCTCCAGGCCTCGGTTTCCCTTTCCCTGCACATAGAGGTCTGCAGATTCCTGAAGGTTCTGTGGAGACGCTGCCACCCGCTCACCCCGTCCCAGCGTCCCCGGACAGCGTGATGGATGAGGATCCCGTGGGGGCAGGTGTGACATGCCCACACCCACAGCTGCTGATGGGAAATGGATCTTCTCCTCCTCTCTCCTCTCCAGGGGCTCGGCTCCATCTGGCCCGGCGCGGTGGCAGACTGACGGATGGGCCGCCACTGGGCCACCCTCACTGCGCCACCATCCGCATCCTCCCTGCCCCGCCTCGGGGTCAGGAGGGCAGCTCTGCACACCCCTTTATTCAGTCACTCAACAAGCATGTTTACCGAGGGCCTACTACGTGCTGGAACCCCGAGCCAGTCAGACTAGGAGACCAGCGTCACGGGGCACATAGAGGGCTTCAAGGGAGCAGCTGACCAGACCTGTGGATCCGACTAAGCGAGGGAGCAGCTGGCCCAAAGGCCTGGAAGTCAGGAAGCTGCAATAAGTCCAGGGTGACTAAAGCATGGAGGCCGAATGAGGGTCAGGCTAGAGCTGGCCTGAGGTTCGGTTCGGTGGTGCCCTGGTCCCTTCGACTCCAGCGTCAGGGCTTGTC